TGCTAAAATAGAATAGCAAACGACAATTAATCTCACACTCTTATGGGTGTTCATTTTCAGAAGTAAGCAAATAAGAGACTAGGCTACTTGGCGAAAAGTGAATTCCAGCTCTATAAATCAGGTAAGTAGGAATCTCGCCTACAGTATGAATAGATTTTAAAGAAAAAGTTACACATGTTATATATGCATGTTTATGCTTTAAGTATTGTATGCAATGTTATGTCATGCTGCATACACATAAGCAGTGCACATGAATTTTATGTGTTTGACTTAATTTAATGTTATGTATGCTATGCTAGATGATACTGCATACACTTAAACAATGTACATGAATTATATGTGTTTGAGTACATTCCATGTTATAATATGCTATGCTATGTCATATTGCATACACCTTAATAAGTCAAGAGGAACTTATAAGAAGAAACTCAGTTGAGTGCCGTACTAGCCTCCGCGAGGAAGGTAATCAAACTCCGCAAGGGAGATAATCAGACTCCGCAAGGGAGATAAAGGAACAAAAAAAATGGTCATCCACAAGGGAGGCACTCAGTTCAATTTAAATCACGGTATCGTTGGGGACCTTGTAAACCCTTACGTCTCGATGATTGCGCGCAAGTGGTACGAGCACTCGGACCCATAAGTAAGAAAGATAAGATAATAAGACTATGATAAGACATTATAATTAAACATAATCAGCTCATGCATATTTATTCATGTGAACTTACAGTTATTTTATAAGAGATAGTTCCTACTTGCTGAGCGAAAGCTCATCATAGAATATTTATATTGTAGGTAAGCAACCTACATATAATACTTGATGGACTGATGGCGAATGGACGAACGATGTGGAGATCGGGGAATGGATACCACTCGCAAATATTTCCACAATCATATTTACGTTATAAAGAGTTTTGCTAATTATGATTCTAAACTATATGTTAAATAGTTTTGTGGATTATGGTTGTTAGTAAGCAAGACTTACGGAGTAAGTATATATATATATATATCTATATGCTTTGATAAATATATATATGATAAGGTTTGAATATTTTGATCAAGAAAGCAATTCGTAACATATGTCGTATTAGTAAGTTCTTTAAAAAAAAAAAAAGATTGCTACAGCATTCCTACAGCATTGTAAAAAGAATGCTATAGTATTTTTATAGCATTTTAAAAAGAATGCTACAACATTTTAAAAAAATGCTATAGCATTCCTACAGCATTTTTAAAATGCTGCAGCATTCAAGGAAACACAAAAAAAAAAAAAAAAAAAAAAAAAATCTCTTAGATTTTTGGAAAGTTTTAGAAGTTATAGGCTAAAAGTTAGTTTTAGTGACGGCCAACTCAGCAGGGTCGTCTCAATGGCTTTGTGATAAGGTAAGTGATTTATCAAAATCTTAAAATTGCTTACTGGAACATGGAATCCTGAAATTTATGATTATTTCCTTTCATAAAAAGGATGTTTGAATCCGGATGATATGGTTAGATCGTGTACTCTTTTAATTAATGAAGTTTTATGAAATTGTATCCTACTGGGCCTTTCGTTCATTGTCAGTCTGTTTTCAATATTTTAAACCCCTTCTAGATGATGCTTGAAGTAGTGCCGAGTAGATTGTGACTACCGGTGACGCTAGCCTGATCTCCAGAAGTGAAGAAGTTGTAATTTACTTCCCTCCTTGTTGCTTATTACTAAGGCATGCATAACTTTATGGTTTGTAACCTTAAATTCTCCTAAACTATGGTTGATGTCTATATTCAGCCACTTGCTTTGTTTATGTATGCTACAATATGAATTTTCTTGTGGGGAATCCTAATGTAATACCAGAGGCTGGTTTTTAAACTTATTTTATTGTGGTATTGTGAAATCCATCTCATTTTTTCTGAAACTTAATTCCCTTAAATCGTGGGGTTTCTTTAGAAATTCTTAAATATATATTATCTTGAAATTGATTTTAGCATCAATACATGTTTAATTACTTTCTTAATCCGCTTTAATTTCTAACAAGCCTCCACATCACTAACCCTATTTTGGGGCGTGACATTAGCAAGCAACATAAGAAAACAAAACCATTAAAAGTTATGGTCACATCATTTCTATATATGTCTATTTCGCTTCCAAAATTATCAAAGTGACATATGTTGTTGTTCAAAATCGACCATAAATTCAAAATTCTATTAAAAAAAACAAGCTGCTTCTATCTTTGAGAAAAAAATTGCATAAAAAAGGTTCTTTTTTTCTCTTCTCTCTTTTTCTCTCTCTCATGAGGCGACTAGAATTTTCAGTTTGGGGTCTCTTCTTAGGGTGGACGTCTCGCACAACCACTAGTTGGTCACCAGATTCTTGGCCCTTGAGACTGTGGCTGTGGTCGTGCAGGTGTGGTTGGTGGTTGATGGGCGCAGTCCATTGGCGATGGAGGAGTAGATTTGGTGAGGAGTGGGATGTTGCTGGTGGATATGTGGCGCAAGGACATCGTTCAGGTTGTTACTGCGTTCAGCTCTATTAGTGGAGGTTGCACTTCAGCTGTGAACGGCTCTGCTTAGTTTCGATTTCTTTGGCTTTCGTACAATGGTTGTTGGCTCGTTGTCGACATCTATTCCTGTATGGTTGAGGCTATTCATAGGTTTCATTGTGTTTGGTTAATTTTAATAAAGGCGTTGTTTTCACTAAATTTGTGTATTGTAATAACGGTGGTGGTTTCCCTACATTCTGATATTGTTTATGTGTCTCACCTGTTCGAGTTAGTTATCAACGGTGTGTGTGTTTTTTTACAATTATATTTATTTCTAGGCCGTGTCGCTTGTGTCTCCTGTATTAGGGACTCTGTCTCGGTCTACTGGTTTTATCCATCAACTGTAAAGGTTTTTATTAACGAGCTTTGATTGCGTTTGTTAGGGTCTGGTTAATTTGGGGTTACTACGTGGCAAAGGTGTATACGTGTATGTACCTGATTTGATGGTGAACCTCCTAGGTTGGTGCAATACTTAGCGCTTCTAGATGTAGATGCAATGGCAGGACCTCTAACGAACCCGAATAAGGCTGAAGAGAATTGACTCTAGGGCTCTTTCTGTTGTGAAAATGACAAAAAATAACCTTACGAAAAGAGTTAGAAAATCAACAACAAGAAGAAGAAACCCACGTAAACTGAAATCGGTGGGAGGAGTAATCAAGTAGTTGATGGAAAGATGACTCAGGTTTGATAAGGCATTGATGAAGAAAATGAGACTATTTGGTGAACCCGCATAGGCAGCTCCGTGGGAGAAATATTGAGAGAACCCTGAAAAGGGCGAGGTTGAGTGATGCAAGGCAGTTGATGGCGAGAATGAAGTCTTGACGCCTTTCGAGGTGTCGAAATATGCTCCGTGGTACGAAGGTATTCGAATTTGCTAGTAAGGGCTCAAGAACTTCCTAGTGCTCCAAGAGAAGAGTGGATGAAGCTCTTGCAGAGCTTTTTGAGTGGAGTTGTGGCTTAGAGCAGACCAAAACCAACATAACTTCAAGAATAAGAGAAAACATGGAGAAGCTATGGAAGAAGTTCAACATAGTGGAAGTAAGCTATATAGGTTTGATTAGTTGTTGTGAATGTGAAGGAAAATGGGGTATTAATAAGAGAAATATGGAAGAAGTTCAGCATAGTCGAAGTAAGCTAAATAGGTTTGATTAGTTGTTGTGAATGTGAAGGAAAATGGGGTATTAATAAGAGAAATCTGAAAGCTGTGGCACTTTGTAAAACCTAACAAAATCCTAAAGTAGAAATTTTAATGGCAAAATTTAACTTATGAGTTTTCTTGTGAAACGTATATTTATTACCTTTATAATAGGATGTAAATTTCCATATCAGTGAGATCTCACGGGGTATGCCAATGAAGTTATGAATTAGCATAAATTTTGACGACAAAAAAAAAGTGTCTTGATGACTTTCTTCAATGATCTAAATCATGGGTCTAATAAAGAAAGAATAATAAATGGGAAATTCAAGTCATACCACTTAACTGAAATTCAGACGTTAAGTGTAGAATTTCTGTCATATGGATATTGTTTGATGATCATTTAAATAATTTCATGAATATTTAAACCTAGTATCAATGATTGCTTCTATAATGCTAATGAAATATCTATAATGAGGCGATAATGTATTTGTCAAAAATTAATCTCCATTTTCAAGAATGAGTCACATTAGACTCTTTGGTGATTTAATAGGAAATAAACCTCAATAGAATTTTCCAAAAGCAAATCTTTAGTGCAAAAATTCTCGAGGGGATTAGCACCTTACGATGTATGACGTTTCTTTCAAATAAGTCTATTAAACTACCTTGGAATGATGCTACTTTTTATTTTAAGAAGAAATTGATTTAACACTACAATAAATATCAATATCAGTAGCTGACTAAAAACGCTATTAATTACTAACAATAGCGTTTTTCAGAGCGCTAAGACAGTGGGTGCTATTAAAAGTCATAAGAAAAAATAGCATTTTAGGAGAGTTATGGAAAGCGCTATAGAATTGAGGGATTATAGCGTTTAAGACAAGTTATTTTCAACCTCTTATAGCTATTTAGCATGGCTACGATACAGATTAATAACTTTTTTTCCTTATTATATTCATACTCTTGTAGCTTTTTAAAATTATTATTGATATCCTTTTGAATTCATTCAAATAAATGGTAATTCTGAGATATGTGATATATCTAAATAGGAACATTCAAATTAAAGCATAAAAACATTCAACATATCAATTGTTATCAGTATCTACCAAGTTAGCAATACAATTACTTCTACAACATAATTCATACAATGTCCAAAACCTTAACATTCAAAACAAGTAAAGAAAACAGAGAAATAACTAGAGATATCAAAGTATCCAAAACGTCTAAGTGCAATGGTGAAGTAAATCCTTCCATCTTGACAAAATGCTTCAACAAAAAAGTCATCTCCACTATCTAAAACCTATAAGAAAGTGATCCACTATCAAAACAATAATCAAACTCAACTAAAACTTCCACCATTTAACCTATAAATAAAGCAAAGACTAGTTACACCATTCACAACTACGTTGCCACATTCACATATGTTTTGCAGTGAAGAGGAAACATGACTTCAATGATGCACTAGACAAAAATTTAATGTCAAACTTGTAAGACAGAGAGCATGGCTTACATGTATTGGTATGTAGATAGTTGGAGAAAGCATGAGTCTTCATTGCTTACATTTAAACCCAAAGAGCAAAAAAACTATCACAATCATATAATGTTTTGTTTAAAACAAATTTGCAACTAGTAGAGATTCCACATACCCCTTTAAAATTTTATCAGCAAGTCAAGCCACATTACTTGAAATTGCTTCTTCAATGGTCCTCATATCACTCATTGGCGTCCACAAGAAAGCGTCCGGTTTTTTTGCTACATCCACCCACACTATAACTGCATTCTATATATATAGATCCTCAAATAATCATGTTACCAAACTCGAACAAAAAGTAGACAATTCACAAGTAAAGTGAAATTTAGAAAACACAAACTCAAACAAAAAAGCCAGCATCTCCTGACCTTGTATATCAAAACAGAATGCAAAGAAAGTAAGGGAATATAAAAATCAAAATAGATTGAAAGTAAGGGAAAATTATGAAAGACATACAATATTTTTAGTGATTGAATAACATTGACCAATAAGAAAGACAAAACTCCACATCCCAATTTCCAATAAATTAACAATACCAACCACAAAAGAAATTGCATTTTCATTCATACACTCTCCAAAAAGAAACATTAGAAGCATCTTATATAACCACATACTTACCTTTGCAATCTCATCCCTCAGCTTTCTAAGTGTAGATCAAGATACAGCTCTCTCAGGATCAAACCCAATGAGTTAGCTAAGGTGTCAATACTCGAGGAGGTGAGAAGGGAGCACTCGGTGAGGTTGGGAGATCTAAGTGCAGGGGCTGAAAAATAACACCTGATTGAAAAAAGAGAATAAAATCCAGCTTATATAGAAAGAGAAAAATAACAATGAAGACAAGAATCTGCAGACCTATAACACATGCCCCATAAGAATAACATAGCAAACAACAAATTAACACAAACAATGGGCGAAAATATACCAATGAGAATTCAATCCAACTATTTTTTCTTTCCCTTCTTTTTTCTCTTTTAAGACTAGCAGGTTGAATTTATTTTACAAATTCTATTGTCGTCGTTTAAAAACCTTTCTTCACTGCTTCAATAAAAAAAAGAAGCTTTGTGATGTACAACAAAGAGCAAGCACTAGACTGCACCACTCTTACGCAAAAGCTGCTCTTACCGCCTTTGAAGATATGCTACCACCCAATTATTTACTTCTTCAATAGTACATGCCTTCCAAACTAGAAGAGATAGATTTACTTCTTCCAAATAAAAAAAGATTCAACCAAAACAACACTAAAAAAACAGGATTAATGATATGATATGATATGGTAATGCTATGGAGAATAATAGAGCTGTCATGTCACCAAAAGAATTGGTAATTTTTAGTTTTATAAAAATATTAGTAGTTTTAAACAAGGGCAAGCATCATCAATCAATGAAAGAGCATACCATTAAGTTGCTCGGATCAAAGTTCTACAAACATTTTGTGAACTCTTCCTCTATTAGCCAAGAACAATCCTTCACGCAAACCTCTGTTGGGGACCCTTGAAGCAGAAGCTTAAAAACATGAGCATTCATTCTTCGAGAATCGCAGAGTAACTGACTCAGTCGGTGCTTCAAACAGTCTGGGAGGTAATAAAGTGAAACCAATTTATCGGCATTGTTAATTATTGAAGCGAGGGAACAACATTCTTCGACCACTTGCAATCCTGGTTGCTCTTCGAAAATCATACCACATCTGCAGGTTTTTCCTCCCGAGACGTGGAAACAAGGAAGCCCGGGAATCTAACTAGGGTTCATGGCTCAAGAAGCCCAGAAATTCAAGGCATAAAATAGCTTTGTGATGTACAACTAAACGCTAATTTCTTTAATCTCACGAAAAACATCAGTGGAAGTAGAACAGGCGGAGATAACAAGAAGAAATGTCAGATCAAATGCTGAAAGAAATTAAGGAAAATTTGTAGGAATTTCATATTATAACTCACCCAGTTATGAATGCCCAAGGAAAGAACGACTACCACACCAAAATGACGAAAGGAGCAATGCCTAAACAATGTCGATGCCCAATAACGGAAGAAATTTCTGAGAAAAGTTTGAAATACAAAACCATAATGAAGAAACTCGCCAAGTTTTGTGCAAAGACACGATGTACAAACAAATTGCAAATCAAAAGCCAAAGAAAATCACACAATAGTAGAAACACTCACCAAAATATTTGCAAAGACTCTGACGCCCAAGGAAACAATCCCACATCCGCTAGTTTGTGTTCCTCTGTTCAAAATAAATAAACACAAAATCAGCCACTTCCTTTTCCTTTTACGGCAACATGATTAACTACCCTGTACTCCGAAGTCGATAATCCCCAGTCCAACGGACCGTTCGTATTCACTCCTGAACAAATCCCGAACAGGATCCTGCCACGTGTGTTTAATCATGTGCGTAGCTATGACTGCCGCACATGATCCTAACCAAAAAAAAAAAAAAAAAAAAAAAAACTAACGCCCCTCACAAATCACAATGGAATTTTTCTAGTGTTGTATTCGTTGAAATATCAATATTCGCGATTAGCATTTAATAAAACAAAATTAATTAAATACAAATTGATTAAAATTAAAAAGTAATTAAAATACAATCGGACTCGTCCCTGACCTGTCTTATTGTATTGACTCCTTTCCCAAAAAAATAAATAATAAAATAAAAAGATAAAAATAAATGTTAAATTAATATCCCATTAATTTAAATTTTACTATAGTTAAAAATTTTTATAATAAAATTATATTTAATTTTTTTTATTACAATAAAAAAAATTTACATAAAATCATATCTCAATTAAAATTAAAAATTTAAATACGTAAAATTCTCAGAAAAAAGAGAAATTTCTTTCTGTTTCTTATTTTTCTAAAAGAAAAGAAACTTCTCAAATTTTATTTTTTGCTAAAAAATAAAAAGAAACTTCTCAATTATAATATAGTCGTCCGCACTTGCTCCAATTTTTTTTGTTTCCTGTAGCTTTTATACGATCCGGCTCTGAGAATACGAAATTTTCCGTCACTTTCTCGGGAAAGTCAAGTTTTTCCCCGAGTAGATTTTCCTAGTTGGCGAAGCGATTATTAGTTTCTCTTTTTCTTCTTTTTATGTGTCCTTGCAAAGCCTGATCTCGCCGAGAATGGGCGTTGACCCCTGTCAATGCTCTGATTCCCACGCTCGAAGAATCGTAGGTCTTGAATTCGAGGTTTAGGATCTGCAAATCGTTAATTTTTCTGGCATTGGCGAGAATTAGGTTTCTGAGAAACTACGAAGAATTTGAGGCGGATTTCGTCGGTGGACACTGTATTCTTGTTGATGGATACGCGTGGTAATGATGTTAATGGCTGCAAAGAAAACCCTATGGGTTCTGTAGACCCCAAGACTGAGAAACTCATCAATGGAGAACGAGAAGGAGGAGAAGAGGAAGAAGAAGATAGCGATTGTAATTCCCTTTTGTCCCCGCGCAGAGGAGGCATGTCGAGAAAATCGGATAAGATTCGGCGAAAAGTCCAGTGGAACGACAAGAATGGGAATAAGCTTGTTGAGATTTTGGAATTCGAACCGAGGTAATGATTTTTTTTTTTTTTTTTTGCTGAATTCAATCCGATTCTATTGTCCTTTAAGTTCAAGGTTTTTTTTTTTTTTTTTTTTTTTGTTCTGCCCTTTAATTTTTCTTCTTGTTGTTGTGATTTGGAGGTTGAATTTTCTTTTTTTGTTTTTGTCATTTGTGCGTTGATGGGGTTTTAGGCAAATAATTGACGATCCTTTTTTCAGAATTCAACAAAGAGTAGATTACAAGATTTTGTATTGAAGCTAAGATTGAGATAAAATGTAATATCATTTGCTTGTTTGTATCGGCAAATATTGGGATGATAATGGTGGTTTTCCATTATTTAGAAACAGGTTCTTTTTTGGTGATGTCAAAAGTAGTCAACTTTTTGTGTCCTTGATCTGTCTACATTTAATAAGCGCTTTTTGTGTCCTTGATCTGTCTACATTTAGGGGATGTTTGGTTGAAGGATTCAAATCATGATTCAAATCATAGTTTATGATTTAAATTATAATTTATGATTTGTTATAGTATTTTTTTCACAAAAAATATACGTAAATTAAAAATAATTCTAATCACATTATTTTAATCCATGAACCAAACGTCTCCTTAATAACGTTTATTCCAATGATTTTGTGTATGTTTCTGATGATGAATTGCGATTTAAGGCTTTCATTTTAAGCAATCCATAAAAAGTTTTTTTTGGATTGGTTGTTGTTCTATTACCTTCCCTTTTTGCTATTTTACCTTAGCTTATTAGAATAGTAGTTGAGTTTTTTAGTAGGAGAAAACAGAAATAGTTACGTTTCCTTTGTTCTCATATAGACTTTCCTTGTTTTATTCCGAATTTCCGAGTTAGAAACTTGTAGACTTACATTGGCCCTTCTGCATCTCAATTATCACAGCAGTTTTAGTTTTCTCAACAGAAGTTTATAGGAAAGGGGGCTCTAGTTATCTGTGGTTTAGAAACTTTACTTTATGGTGAAAAGTGGAGTAAGGGAAATTTTTAGGATTTTGGAGGTGGACTTAAAGGCAGCGTAGGTTCTCATAAGGCGAGATTTTGTACGAGTATTTGAAAGATTTTGGGATATGTTTTCCTTTTAAATGTTACAATTGAAAATGCCCATCACCTTGTGTTTTTGTTTTTATTTGTAATTTTTTATTTTTTTAAAATTGAGTAAGAGCCTGGTGAAGGAAGGGAGTTTTAGTGAGTGCCAACATTGTTGGGATGTGCTAAAGTTCCTTGATGCTAATTTTTCCTTCTCTTCTTTTCTCCAAGCAAAGAAGAAAAAACAGAAGCCCATCACCTTTTCACAACTCAAGAGTTCTATTGCTACAGAGTTTTTTTTCACAAAAATTCAAATTTTACTTTTTTGCTATAGGGTTTTTCTCTCACAAACACAACTCAAGTTCTTGAACTTGAGTTGTGAAGCAAACACCCTCTAAGTCCCTTGAAGTTCAAGTTCGTAAATTCTACTACATGAATGTTAGTGTAGCTGATTACTTGGGAGGTTTGGCTGGTAAGTTTGATGGGAATCGTATGGTAGTAAGGTTGATGGGAACCATGGGAATCTCATGGTTGTAAGTGGGATCAGTTAGTTCTTGAGGTTAAATAGAGCTTGTCTTTCCTCTTTAGCATCAGAATTTTGGGCTCTAATTATAGATGTGACCGAAGGCTTTTTCTTTTGTTTTTTGTTTTTTGTTTTTGTTTTGTCCCCCCCCCCCCCCCCGTAAAAAGCAGAAAGAAGCATACTATTGTAATTTCCTTTCAAATATCTTGCTGAAGCCTCCTAAAGTACCATTAAGAGCCTTAAACCATTGATTCCTTTCAAGGAGATAACAAGATTATTGTGAATAGCTTATGGTCATTGCATCTCATATTCAGAACATTGACAATTGCTCACACTCAAAAATTGATTTACAGGCCTGATTAACTTCTTGTAATCATAAATCTACTCCTTCGACTTGTGTCACTGGTTTTCTTAGATAGGCTGGATTTAGTTGGGCATGAGTTGGACTTGAAATCTAGCATGTTGCCTCACAGGAAACGTAGTATGATTTAACTTCCCATTTGTCATTTGATATTCTAAGACGATTCGACAATTTTTGTTTCGGAATGAGTCTTTGTCAGAGGTTATGAAGGACCACGTTTATTCTGACTTGACTTCGTTGGACAATGGTAGTATGCACATTTTGTAGTTGATTATTCTATGACATGATTTTTCTTTGAGCATGGTTTTGCCGTTGCTTTCCTTTAATCAGGTTGTCACTCTCACCCCCATCCTCTTGTGTATTGCAGTGATGTGAGCGACTCTGACGACGACGAGGATTCAGATTCTTGCATATGTACCATAATGTAGATAAAACTTCACTACACCAAATCATCATCATCAAATTCGGCTATATCAAACAATTGGGGTATTCTCAGCAATCTGACTTGAGAAATTTTTTTAATATACAAAGTGGCCCTGGCTTCAACAAATATTATAAGCAATGCGAGAAAAAAAAATTGTCTCATATTACATTCCGATGCAGTTCCATTTGTTAGGTTGATGTTTTTGGGTCAAAAGCAGACGAGATGATGAGAATGTCTTTCACTGTGTGTAACATATTTTACAGCATACAAGCTTTTTTGATGCTTTTACCACGGCTATTGGTATGTAATGCAGATTATACACTCAACAAAAATACTTGGATAACTTTGTTCATTACTTTTCCCTCTATTCCCTCATCATCAGGAAACACACACAAAAAATTGTCTTTCATAAATATCAATTTTGTGTTCCAAGTAATTTTGTAGAACTTCATCCAAACGAATCAGAAGTCTGAAATAGTTGGCACTTCATCTTTCAGGTTGGTTGACTAATAAGCAGTGAGACATTTTTTTGGTATCAAACCCACTTTGCCATATCACTTGGTTAACAAAACTATCACTTTGGTAAAACAAAAAAAACAAAAAGAAGGGGGAAAAAAAAACTAGTAGAAAGTGTCGGTGAATGTAGGACCTAGTATCATTGAGGGGGAAAAAAAAAACTAGTAGAAAGTGTTGGTGAATGTAGGACTTAGTATCATTGTTATTCTCTTGCTGTGAATTTTTGGACACTTGTGAAAGTCACTGATCGGAAAAGCCACTTCCATATTTTTGTCCCCAGGTCAAAACCAATAATAGCATAAAATCCTTGAAGTAAATTTTTTCGACATTTTTTTTTTTAACTTTGATCGAATAAGGCTTTAACAAACAGTGAAAAGCTAAATCTTACAGCAGTTCACAACCGAGCATTCATGAGGCATTAAAAAAAGAGCATTAAAGACAAGCACACACACACAAACACAAGAAAAAACAACACACGCCCATAAATTCTCACTCTGTTGGTATTTGCGCCGGGAAGATGACAAAAACTAGCCTCAGTTTCTACTGTTGCAAAGATTTTCTTCACCTTTGTATCAAAATATGAAGTGTTTCCCCATCCTTGAGGATTTTTTTCACCAAAAAAAGTAGGCCAAGTTCCCGATTTTTGGGCCCTGTTTTATTGATGACACTGATATCTTTTCTCTTAACTTTCCATTAATCTGATTTATCCTACTTTCTTTGGTGGGTAACATGATTCAGAAGCAATACAAGTGGTTAAGTATTTCGAGAACTTAACCAACTCGAAAGGCTTGAATCAACCGCGATTTCTTGAAGAAGAGGTTTGGACTGGTTACGGGGTTGTCTCTCTTGGACAAGTAACGGTTCTGAGAATTCTTGAGACAATAAGTTATTCTCCTTCCTTTGATGCTGCTTAGATGGTGTTGCTGCTTTCGCTTTTGCCGCTCTCCACTGAGTTAGATTTTCCACAGGTTTCAGTACAGAATGTGCGTAGTCACTCTTATCAGAAATCTTGGCCTTTTCTTCAGCATGTTCATCAGAAGAAACCTTCTTCTCTGAACTCATACCGTCTTTGCTTACTCTTTGGCTGTCAATATCACTATCTCCATCGTATTCATCATCATTGTCATCGATATAATCAATGTCATAGTCATCCAAATCACTGTCCTCGAATGCAATATCATCATAAAAATCTCTACAATTTTGGTATCTGTAGTTTAAGTTGGAAGAGCCGCTTCCAAATAGTGAAGTAGACAAGCTTCCTTCTTTGATTTCTTCGTGTTTCTTCTCCACTTTCTCATCCTCTTCATCCTTCAAGAAATGGTAAGATGTGGAGATTGGCTCATAGGCCTGCACATTTAGATTAAACCTAACTTTCTTGCGGATTTTCGAGCTGAGTTGCTCCTTCGGCTTGTGCCTAACAAACACAACAAGTTACACCCAAAAAAAGGAGACATTTAACATTTTCACAAAATTTTCAATCTTAGTAATGTCGAAGAAAGCTCACAAATACTATTTACTCACCTGGGCTCAAAATCTGCACTAGTAGTTAGATTCTCTGCAGTGACAAGTCTTACTATAGATACAGATGAATCCAATGGTTCATAACTCCCATGTTTCTGCAACAAAATTTGAGAAGCGTTTAGATTCAATATTGAAAATAAGTGAGAAAACAAATACTTTCAAAAAGGGTCACAAGCTAAGACCTTGTCGGCAGATTTTCGCTTCTTTCTTTTGTTGGTAAAACCAAAACAGGCAAGGAAACACCCCATAATTTGAAGTTCAAGATAATAGCTATAACTTACAAAGAAACAAATGAAAGGAAAAAAAGAAGAAAAATAGAGATGATATTCTCCTAGTTCAAAAGGGTATTTCTCTTCTTCATGGTGAAGAAGAATTGAGGAAATATGGCATCAAATACAAGCAGAAAAAGAGACAAGAAGAAAGGGGGTCTAAATGGTAATGGGAAAAATTTTAAACCCAATTTGGCTCCAACGGTTTTTGAAACTAGTGTGACGTTGGAATTTAATCATACTTCTCTTTTATTTCAATTAAAGGAATGTGGGGACAGAGAAAAAACAGCTTTGTCTGTAGCGTAAACTATGAACTGCATTTCAACTATGCGGTTCTTTTACAGTTTGTTGTTTTTGGATTTCCCTTTTTGCCCTTTTGGAATTTATATAGGCAGCCATTTCATGCTTCAACAATTTATCCGTTGGCCAACTCACAATATATATATATATATATATATATGTGTGTGTGTGTGTCTATATATATATATATATTTGGAAGGCCAGCTCACGAGCTTAGTGGCCATGTTCTTGGGCAATTGCTATAACCTATAGTACAGAACATTGATTTTTGAAAATTAAAAAATGAAATAAAATAAAAGCAACAAAGAAATCTTTGAATTAAGGAGATTTGATTGAACAAGTTTCAGAAGTAGAACTCAGGCGGGATGTTTATGGGAGACGGCATGGCCGGTTCTGATTATGGTCATATTATCGCAAAACACAAGTTGACATGTTTCTTCAAAGATATACTGTAGCTATGAATATTGTTGGAGCATGATTGCCATCCATGTGTCAACTTGGATTGATTCTAGTCACCTCTACGAGCTAACAAAGCTCGCGTTTCAACTATGGATAGATGCCTACGACTAAAGAAATCGATCCCGCGAGTCGCCTCCTCAGCGAGATCCTAGAAACAGCAGCCACCATGGTCATTTTAAGGAGATATTAGCAACTAATATCAAATCATCAGCCATTTTCTCTAATTGTAAATTGGGAAAAGTAGTTAAATCCTTCTAAATTTGACAACTTCTTGACGATTTGACCTTTTTTTTTTTTTTTCCCCCATTCATTTGACGCTTTAAATAATGCTTCACGCACACACGTCTATAGATTTTTATATTTTTCAATCATAAAAGAGGGATTCTTTAGGGTGAAATTCAAAGGTGAGCGTTGCTTTTTTAATTATTAGATTAATTTTTTAACGGTAAGATCTGTGCAGATTTATAGTAAAAATTTACAACGCACCTCACAAAACTGCTTTTGCTGCAGATTACTGTTAAAAAAAGTAATCCAACAATAAAAAATAATACTCTACTAATTCAGTACTTTTTAAAATTCCACCATAAAGAATCCCCATAAAAGAATTGGGTGCTTATTAACTTTATAAGTTCATACACATTCATGTGAGTTAGAAATTATTAAGCATATATTAAATTATTAATAAATATGTCTTGGGATTTATAAAAGGTCTAAAATAAAAAGTTAAATACTAGTGTTTAGGGCATGTTTATTTAATCGTATTAGAGCACTATATTGTATAATAATATATTGATATAATGTTTGATGTGACCATCGTATAAATTATTACGGATCGTAAATTAATGCAGTCTATGTCGTATTATTGAATATGGGTTAATTTTTAGCGTATTGTATTGTATCATTCTATAGCAGATTCATAATTCATGTCGGGATTGGGCATAACTCACCACAATAAGTTTCACATTAGACGACGCTTATTTAACGACGTTTTAAGAAAAACGTTATCTAAAGTCCTGAAGAAACATGGAGCGAGACTATACGATACATTTAACGACCGTTTTCTAAAAACAGTTGTTAAATGTTATATATTAGACGATTGTTTTTTAAAAACCGTCGTCTAATGTAAATATTTAATGAAGGTTTCCTAAAAACCGTCGTTAAATGTCAAAACTTTTTGAAAAAAACGGACTTTTTCCTGTTCATCATTTTCTTTTAAAATTTTGAAACTTTATCTTACCCTTTTATAATTTCAAGCGCTCTCTTCCATTTTTCACTCACCCGCACTTCCAAACTCTAAATTTTTCTCTCAAATCCTCCTCTCTCTTCCTCACTTCCTCACTTCCTCACTCTTTCTCTTTCCCTGTAACACCTCGAGAAATTAATCAGGGTTAATTGAGATAATTGAGATTTATTAGTCTGCCTAATCTGGTTTAATCAATGAAAGAAGAAAAGTAAAAACTATGGCTTATTAATAAGTATTTGGAATAAAAGAGTTTAATTGGTGAAAACAATTTTTAAATTTTCTAATAAGTAAAAAAAGTTTTGGAAGAAAATTATAGTGTCTTTAATAAAACTTTGGTACAAATTTTAAAGTATATTCGGAAGTGTTTCTTTTGATAGCTACATTTTGTTACTTTAACTAGAAATTCTTCTAACATCTCATCAATACACTTATAGAAATAACTTTCAGAGCCAGAAAGCAAAAAAAAAAGGGCGTGTTTGGAACTCGTTCTAAAATGATTTTATTTTTTTGTATGAAAATAAAAATTAAAACGTTTTCAATCTCAGACATAAATTATTTTTAAAAATGCGTTTAATAGTTTTATCAAGAGATTATTTTCGGTATAAAAAACCCATGAATGTCTCTCTTTGTGCTCAGAGGAGAACACGAAAACAAAAACTGAAAAACAACTAAAAGTCGTTTTTCATTTCTCTCCCATTTTACACTAAACCAAAAAATTATTTTCATTTCCGTCTTTTGTCTTTAATTATGCCAAATGCCGTTTTAGAATTGTTTTCATTTTTTCTTTCTTGAAAAATATAAAAAATAAAAATAAGAACAATTTTAAACACAACAAATGTTTAAGAAACTCTCCTAGGTCTTACTAGTGAAATACCCATGCGTTGCAACTAGTAATAATTTTATAGTATGCAGAGTTATTTTGAATGTGATGAAAGTTAAAAATAAAGTGTTGAAGATGAGTGTAACATTAAAAGGACTGTAAATTTTTTTTTTTTTTTCAGTGAGGGAGAAGAGGGGAAAAAGTTTTATATTACATGAGAGCTTGATAAGTTTTACAATACAAAAATAGTTTATATATACATATTTGTACATGGATAGGTCTATATTATGTTCTACTAAATATGTATTTACATTGTAATTGAGATTTTTCTTTAGTCCTTGTGTTGCCTTTTTTTTTTCTTTTTACCTGCAAGATGTATATTTTTGAAAGGTTAGTATAGATAATTGATGAAATTGAGAATATTTTGATTTAGAGGAAGTGATATTACCTGGTCCTTGGACGTTTTGTAGATTGTTCTGTTTCTTTTGATCGAGAACTGTAATAGTGAGAGTTTGTTTAGATATATATATATATATAATTATAAATATTGTGTTTGATTTATGAATAATAGAAATTAGTTTATATGGCTTACCGAATGGTTGATTTTTTTACGTCTGGAGTTTGTGGATCGACTGGAGTTAGAGCTACTGCTATTGCCTTTGTTTGAGGGCTAAAATGGTAAAATATAGTTTACATATTAGATATGATTTTTTTATTTGTAATGGGTAGAATTCAATAGAAATATTTTACCTTGTGGTTATCGCTACAGTTGTTGATGTTGGTGTTGGTAGTGCTAGAGGCTTTGTGTCTTCAAATATTTTGGAAACTATCGCATTTATTTGTGGTCCTCTTTGTTGAAAGTATAGTTGAAAAATCTTAGTTTGTCCTTTTAGTTGAGTGATGATCGGCGGGATTGTAAATGGATCGGTAAAGCCTTCATCGATTGTTAGTGTAGAACATGGTTTTTTTATTAGGGTTTGCGCTACTTTACCAAATATAGTAATGTTCATGTTTCCAGTTGTATCTTCGATTTCTGCCGTTAATCTGTACCTGCAACATGTAAAGTCACAATTGATTTATGTAATAGATTAATTTTATGAGCAATGAAAATAAATTGATTTTGGCAACAATATATTTGGAATTTTTAGTACCATGGAGATGGCATTATTTTTATGTGTCTGTGACTGTCACACCACCAACCGATTCCAGCTTGCTTTAGCTATCGATAACATCTGGGGCAGGAGTTATGATACCATGCTTGTTCTGCTGAGAATCTGGTTATTGTAGCTTTTATTGTAAATCTTGTGCCCTATGTAGATAAGTAAAGGTTGTTAGCTTGAATAATATAATCAGAACAAAAGATAAACATGTAATATTATTATTCTAACCTCGCTCCTTTGTTGATGTAATGTCTTTACTTCATTAATTGTTGTTCTGTTTTGTGTTTTTTGTTCTTCAATGGATTGACTTGATGCTGTTGTAAAGTCAATTTCTTGATATTGATGAGGAAACCAGTAGATAGAAACATAAGAATGATTAGGAAAAGGAGTAATAGAAAATTTTTAGTTTTTAGATATTGTGAATTAGTTTTCTTACCTTGTTTTTTATGTTGTTGTCTCTGATATTTGTGGGTCAATATAAAAAATTGTTGCTGCAGTGCTTGAGATGTATGCATTTCCTAAGATTTGGACCGTAAATTAATCAATATCTTGATGTATTTTTGTGTAGATACTTTATTTTTATATGTAAGGATTTTTATAAAATATTGAGAAAATACATAAATATTGCTTTACTAACATTGCTGCAAAAACTGCAACAACTGATCCTTTCATTGATTTGAGAACATTTTCATCAAATTGGTATGCTTTGTATCCCCATGAAGTAACCTGAAGTTGTTCATTTCTATTGGAAGAAGAAAAAAAAAAGATTAGAATGGAATGTTCTAAGTGATGTAAAAGTTGTGTATTTATTAGGTATGACTTTTCTAATATAATTGTCGTGAAATTTGTATAAAATTTATTTACCTTATATTTTGTATCATTATGGTGCGTCGTGATGTTTGTCTGTTGTTAATATTTATTTGTTCTATTATTTGTACGCTTGTCAGGATACCGATGACATCTGTTGGTACATAAATATATAATGAAAAGAATATAAATAAGTAAGTTAATAATGAT